TCATATCCTAATAATAAAGCTGAAGTTTATATGCTTATTATTAAAATCTCACACAAAAAAATAAATACATTTATTATCTTGTAATTTTCCACCATATCATGCAGCTATAATCAGACATTCACAACCAGCTTTGACAACTGAAGAGCTTGGTACAAAAACTGGTTAAATGCCTTCTTTTCTCTTCAAATGGGTTATGGGTAATTTTATTTCCAAACAAATTCACTGCATTGTTTGGTACAAGAATGAACTGTCCATAGCCAGTACATGATGAAGATTTCATCCTGAAAATTTCATTTTAGGAATTTTTTAGGAATTACAAATTTTTCACATTTTTTCACTTTCATATAAAATTGTATTTTATACATGTGACTGGTTCTTTCAACATGCTCTTCAAGTACTTAACACAAGTTAACTGGTTATACAGTGTGGGCATACGGTCTCTGTTAATTTCAAATGCTGTATGAATCAAATAGCAAACCTAATAATGCATTATATTTATATTATTACTTTGTTCAAAATTATCATCCCATCCAAAAACAGCAATGGCTTGACGTATGTACAGTAACATCAATATTATGTCATATGATGTCACATATGAAACATGAAATAAGTCACTATTCATTCCAAACCAGACAGTTTAATATCTTGCCACCTCACTATTATGAAAGTATTTTACATAGTTTCTTTTAACAGCAAAATAAACAGAAAGAATATATACATATATTTAAATAGAGATCAAATAAATCCCTTCTCTCTGTATAATGGAATAATGCAAACTCTTGAGGAAAGAATGCAAGCATGAACATCTTTACGTAACACTGTGTTCTTTAAAATGTACGCATGTGCGAGTCTTGAATTTTCAAGATTGAACAAAAAAAAATGTATCTCAGTTTTGAACATTAATTTTTCATTCTTGAACTTCAGGAATTTTCTGGATAACTGCTTTGGCTTCGCACATAGGGGTAATGTCAAATGCAATCAGTATAGTATTTGCCCAAATGGAAGGTGAGTTCTATCATATTTAAGGGTAACAAACCCTACAGGTAATTTTTAATTGTTATTTAATCTCTTTTAATCCATTCTAAGCTTCCAGCATGTTCATAACACCGTTCACATTATCAAGCTATGAGAATAGCAAGATAGAAAGCAAGACAGACAGAAATATGTTCCAAGGTCAGATGCTATGAGGTTGCCCAAAGTGCCAGCATAGTTATGAAACAGAAAGAGTAATTCGCAGATATATCAAAAAGTACTCATGTCAATGGGAAGACTAACATGACAGACAAACAAACAACTGTGAAGTGGCTAGGAAATACAATGACTCCCAAGGCAAACATTCAAAGGTGGAAACAACAAAATAAGAACTTACACCATTTCTATGACAAAATTGTAATTTATATGGATTCAGAGACAGAAACAAAGTCAGTTTCAAGCAACGTCATTACTCAATGAAAGGCTGAGATTTTAAGTCAGCTCAGGGCGGTGTGTACAAATGACATGGAGGAAGAAGTTTTCCATACAGCAAAGACCTTCATTTTGCAAAACAAAAAGAGCTCTTCTCCTCAGCATCCAGAGCCCACCCAGGCTCTTCTCTGATGGGTGCAGTGGGAATTTAGCTGGCCACGCCCTCTATTTAGCATCAATGTTGATAGTGAATTTGTTATTGTTTAATTACACTCTTCATATCTAACCTTTATCACACTTTGAGGCAATGACAACGGAATGCTAATGTATTTTGATAAGCCAACCAATTACACTAACAATGACGTAAGTTTGAAATCTACTACCATAAAAACTTCAGGCAATGAAAACCTGCGAGTGACTATAGTGTTGACAGAGTTGAAAGACAGGCTGTAACCACTACTGAATTGAAAGCCTGTGCATAACTGCCTATGAGACAGATAATAAGGTAGCAAACTAAGAGATGGTAATAATTAAAAGTTGGTGGGGGATTGGTTAGAAGTTGTCTGGAAGAGAAGACAGATAGTATATAAGATTTGAGGCTTTCACGGCAGTGACTATGAAGAAAGCAGTCTTCTGGGATTTGGCACTGTGTATGTGGTGTTAACCGACGTTTCGGAGGAACGTATCGCCTCCATCTTCTTAGCAGACTCAGTCTGCTTTTACCAGTTCTCACGGTATCTTCGCTTGCGGATTTCTTATATTTTTCCTTCTACCCTGAAGATGGAGGCGATACGTTCCTCCGAAACGTCGGTTAACACCACATATATACGGTGTCAAACCCCAGAAGACTGCTTTCTTCACAGAGAGTATAGTTCAGAAAAAAGGAACGCTTGTGCTGGAGGCATTTAAAGACCACTTAACACTGGAGGTCAGGCCTGTGATTCATGCAATGAATATTCTAGTGAATATACCTTTTAAAGATCAGTTGAAATAACAGTATTTTTAATGGCTCTTAGCCGGGGATCATGTTCTGACACTGCATGGACAATAAAGAGGCTCGGTGTGGAACTGCTGTGCCAGTGGATGAAGCCCATGTCAATGGGTATCTCAAGAAGTGACATTAAAAAAATTCTAAAAATGTTGTACATATGATCAAATGGATGGAATGGGGGATAAGGAAGAAGTCTGGAATGTTAACAGTGAACATGAGTGTGTGAGCAGTGAATGTGAGACATAAGGTGAGAACTATGAAGACACTGAGGCTGATCCAGATGACAGGAATGTTGAAGACTGGTGTAGCTAAATACAGACTAGTGACTTCAAGAAGGAAACTAACTCATTAAATTTCATACATAACATGTTTTCTAATATTTATTTTATTTCATGCAATTGTAGTCAATGTATGAAATTAATTCATAAAATTACTTTTTCTATGCATACGTAGTAGAGTCATTAAGTTCATGGAATGTGGTTTTATCGCATCATATTACAAGGTATTCACATACACTTAAATAGATCCATATCGGCCCTAAAAATAGTTGCCATTGGCCACTATGTAAGTCTGCCAACGTTGCTATAGCTGCCAAAAACACTGCTGAAACATAGTGGCAGGAAATTCCTGTACGGCATCTCTTGTGGCAATGACCACCTCCTCAGATGACTGAAATCTAAGACCACGTAGCTTTGCTTTCAAGTGGCGAAAGAGAAAGAAATTGCAAGGTGCGAGATCAGGTGAGTACGGAGGGTGTGGCAAAACGGTGACCTGTTGCCTTGTCAGTTCCTCTTGGACAAGAACAGAGCGATGTGCAGGGGCGTTGTCGTGTAGCAACAGCCAATTCTTCCTACGCCAAATGTTTCGCTAGGGGATTTGCCTAGTTTCTGGCAGAACTTGATGTTTGCCCGTTGTTCACACTGCCATATTTTCTATTTCTGCCACTTGCATTTAACTGCAGTTCACAATAGAGGTCATAGTTCTACTTACACTGCTTGCACACAACTGCCTCTTGCTGTGAGGGGAGATGAACTGACAGGGCATCATATTGTGCCTCAACCTATCCGCTGTAGTACACTGCAACGACGCGGCCATTCCACGAATTTATTGACTATGGTAGTATATCTCTCCTAGTGAGAAGTCATCTTACATTCAGAATCATCTTCCAGTCGGGCAAATATGTGAGCACAGTGGAAAAACTGAAAAGTGTTATAAACTATAACCATGAAAACATTGGTCTATTAAAAAATCTTATTTTGTCTTGATTTTTCAATTTTTCCAAATTATCATCTCAATTTTGTCCCAAATTGAAAAGTAATTCTCGCACATGGCTATTTACAAATATGACATACATAATATATATTTAACTTAAAGCCTTTGTAATAATTGGAAGCTTCTACAGGCCATTACATAGGTCCTTGTGTAGAACTGCTGAGATCAGCTCAACTGCAGGCTTTACTGTAACTCCTCTCTACAAGTCACATCATCTCAAATAAGAATAATTGTTTAGTTATGGCATCTTCAACATTAAACAATCCATGTCAGTTCAGATAAAACTTTCATGCATTCTAAACCTCAGCATTAAATGGAAGTTAGTAGGAATTTCCACACTCTTGTTGCTTTACCTCCAAGGGAAAGAGCAACTGGTGCCCTCTGGCGGAGGCAAATTAAATTTCACTGCCACCACAAAGAATCAAACCCCATTTTTCCATGTCACAAGCTGTCACTTTAACCAGCCAGCAAGCAATTCACATTACATCAAGTGCTATTAATTGAAATCAGTCTAAATTAGCTGAGTGCATTAAAATGAAATAGCATACTTTGAACTCGCATATAACAAGGAGTAACTGTATATATTAATGATCTAAGATAAGAGTACAGATATGAGGGCCCGAAAATACTGTGGAATGTCAGATGAAAGCCAGAATAGTGTAACCAGAAGAGATGTCTGTTATTAGGTTACACCACAGCAAATGCCACATCAGCATAACAACAATTATTCATGCAACAATAGAGGAATTGTGGGACGCAGAGTTCCTTGTTGGGTCTGTCCCAAGGCCATACCATGAGAACAGGACAAGCCAGTCAGTCTACAGAGTAGTGAATCTGCAGTTTAGCAGTTGGGAGACAGAGCCATCAGAGGTCTCAGCAGACAATTACCACCTGGTGGAGGAGTGGGGGGGGGGAGGAACCCCCATGGTTGTGAGTCATTGAGTTAGTTGTGAGACAGATGCCAGACAGCAAGGACAGGAGCCATAACACACAGAAACTGAGGGATCTACAGCACTGGATGTGTTATCAAGCAATAACTGCTGAAGACACAGCAGAATGAGAAGACTTAGTGCATGCTATAATGAACTACAGAGCATATGAATTACTGATAGCACCAGAATTGCTTGTAGTTACAATCTCTAAGAGTTCAACAAATTTGATTACCAGTCAAAACCCCAATCTATAGTCACTCAATGATGTGACAATACAAAATTATGTTAGCACCACCAAGGAAATACCTGACAACCTTTTTCATGACTTAAGCAAACATATTTTTTATTCAAATCTTTCTGGAAAAATTGAAAATAGTGTCACATGTTTGGAATCCAGAAAGGTTACTTCCATGGAAACGCTAGAACAGACCGTTGCATAGGAAGTAACAATAGCAGTATTGTAATTCTAACAGTGAGCCGGTGTGTAGAGAATGCCGAATCTCCACGGAGATGAATAACCGAAGACTTATTGGGTAGGAATTGCAGAATCAATGAAGCAGCGTTTTTCCGGTGATAGACAACAGAAGGTTCACTGCGTAGCAACAGCCACGGATATATAACAAGGTAATGCATTCGCCGAGACAGTATTGGGATAGCCGTCACCGAAGACAGTTGAGATCCAACCATGGCCAAGGATAGTCAAGACGTCACATTGGGGTATTGGGCCAAAAGCCAAGTGATACTACAAGCGGTAATAATTGTAAGGTGTATAAGTGCGAGTGTTCAATAAATATTCGCTGAATCCGAGACCCACGTGAAGTTATTTGTGGTATTTGTGGTATGACATACCCAACACGTGACAATAGTATTCCTGAAACTGTGCTTCATGCACTAGTTTCAAGCCTTTCTTGTAACAATATTTGATAAATTTAATTAACACATGACCCATAACAAAAACTGAAAGACTATGAAAAACATACAATACTAGATCCTTTACGAAACTTCAACCCTATATAAACGAAATCACATTTTCCAGATAATATCTAATAATTTAAGTGAATGCACATGCACTGTTCATTTCAGACACAAAACTGTCTATGTCAGGTTACAGAAGAAGTTAACTATGGATAACCATGTATGACATCTCTTACCCTCTCACATTACAGACACCTGTAATATACCGCAAGGATAATTTCCATCTGTCAATTTGTCTGACAGGCAAATAAGTATTGATAACCTTTTAAGAACTGATAAATGATATAAGATATTTTCATCCCTTGTTGTGTATGTTCAAGCTCAGAGATCACTGACACATCAGCACTGATAAAACAAAGGACCTTGCAATCGAAGAAAAGGATAGCAAAAGACATAAAATGATATTAAACAATCAAATGATAGAACAAACACTGAAAGTGAATTATTTAGAATATCATATGGATTCCAATAAATATGAATGAAACAAAAGCACCCGAAATGTATTTCTTGAGAATGGTAGAAGAATACTGCCCAAATGAAAAAGACATAAAGATATGACAGAGTTACACATAACAGACATTATTACAAAAATAAAATTTTACAAAACAACATGGTTAGAACATGCAAAAAGGATAAAATATGGGTAAATCCCAAAAATCCCTTTTAAACATAAGCCAACAATCAAGAGATCCAGAAAGACCACAAAAGAGAAGGAAAGACCAATCTGTAATATAGCCAGAACTCTGCATATTTCAATGCTCATCTGAAACTCTCAGCTTAAATTGAATATTAAATACACATTCTGCACTTGGAGTCAGAACAGGCAGTAAATCGCAAAGGCAATGATGTGGAAACAGACATCAGAAATTAAAAATGGTAACAATTAAAAAAAATTTATGAAAATGTTAAAAATAGAAGACAATCCTTCATGAAAATTAACATTATCGAAGACACACCTTCCCTTTCCGATACACTACACTGCTTCTGCCCCTTTTCAAATATGAATTTGGATGTCTATGCAGTAACAGTAACTATAGCAAAAACAGAAAGCAATTTTAAAAATACACAAAAGCAAGAGAGACTTTTTCTTTCCAATATAAAGCTCTTATCCCACATATGCCACATCCCTATTTTCCATCCCTGAATCCTGAATAAAAAAAGTGTTTGCTTTTTTGCAATATGGCATGACATGGACATGTTTAATGCCTTGCAATGGTTTATGTTACTAAACAGTCATTCTCTATAACAAACTACACCAAACCAATCTGCTACTGCTTTACACCCATACACCACTCCGTCGTCACACTGCACTCAGTTTCAGGAGCCCAGCCTGACTACCCGCACCCACAGACGATTCTTCCAGTGAATCCAAGTCCAACGCAGACTCAATCATGGTGGTGTCCTGAAGCAAGCGCAATCTGCTGGCACTTAGGGGCACAACAATGTTTGCATCACACATCACCACCTCTGTGAGGTCCAAGTCTGTCATTTCGGTGGGTGAGCAACTCTCCCCAACCCCACCTTCACCACTGCCACCTGTCACCGTTAAAATGACATCGTCACTGTCTGTTGGAACAGCAGGATTGGTGCCAGCATTGGCCACATTCATTACAAGTTGTGACACACTACCTGAATTGCTACCTGGAAACAAACCACAACAAAAATATTGGTAAATTGTATTAGTTGAAACACATACTCTCAGTCCTATAAATGAAGTGGGTAAGTAACATCTGCGTAAGTACTTCCAAACACTTCACTCTTATATTTCATAGAAACAATTTTTCAAGAGTCAAACATATACAGCCTAACAAGGCTTTCTTTTTCCAGTTCAGATATTGAAAACAATATGTTAAATTTAGACATGGTTATATAATACTGTACCAATTCCCTCTCAAGTCTTGTTTCTTTAGAAACACTAAGAGTTATCAATCAGTCCAAAATTTAACTAATCAGAAAACTTGAATACAACTAATTCCTTATTTTACAGCAGCTGGATCATACATTTTAAATAAATCTGCCCCTAATTAAAAATTATACTATGTTGAGAATTTGTAACTACAGTCTGCTGTCTGTAATTTCAATGAGACACAAATATTAAACATGGAAATTTCAATAACAAATAATAATTAGAGATGTTTTAAGTGATAATTAAGGAGTCAAGAGAATTCTAAAAATTCCATTATATCTTTTTTATGACACATTCTTCTTTCTTGATACATATTTTCAGCCACTAACTTCACATTTTCATTTTCACATTTACTTTCTAGTCCTCTTTAAACAGACATATTCTAGCATATGTCCAGTCACCGCATACTTTATGCTGTCATGGGAGGCAACACCAAAATCAAAAACTAAAATAATGCAAGGGATATAATAAAATTGAACCAAAATGCATGCACAATTACAGATCCCATTAAAATCTGGGGTGGAAACAGCTTTGGGGCAGAACACTTTCTAAAACCATGTGCAACAGTGACTACATTAAGAGAAACAACAGTTTCAACATGCTTCAAAAACTAAACTATTTCACTTGAGCAGCTCAACGATTTTAGGGATCTTTCTAGATGTTCAGATTCATTAAGAAAGCTCAAGGATTTGGGATCATTTAGTACAGACACATTTCTTTATTCATAACATAATATATTTTTACTGTAAGTAAGCTAATTCTCTGCAGGCACACCCATAAAACAAATTATCACTCTTGTTATTCTTGTTGTTGATTAAATTATTTAGTCCTCAACTCAAATAACAGATATTCACTACCGGTTACAATTTTTGGCAAGTGACATGGCATTTGCATTGTACAAATGGTGTAAGTGAACAAAAGACAAAAAAGATTATCATAGTTGTCATCCTTACTGTCATCAATGTCATTGGAAAATGATCATATATCTACTGTTAAATTGAATGTTTTTCATGAAAATTGGTCAATTCATCCATCAGTTTTTGAAGATATAATTTCCTTTATCATATACTGCACGACTCGAATGCTGGAAGAATCAAATATGTCTGAAAAGCCTCATCATGGAACAAATATATAAACTGTGACTATGAAAATGTTACCATACATTATCATTTAAATGCTAACAGCCACAACATACCTCAACATATATTTACTTTACATATCTGTGTATCTGGTTATACTGGATATATTATGAAACTGATCTACTCACAAAGCAAAAAAACTGACATAAAAACACACATTGAAAGCTGTTCACACAAGTGTCATGCAGCCATTCTACCATCTTGCTCAACATAACAGCAGAAGAGTGAAACTCATTTCATGCATCCTGATGGGAACCAAGGATTCTTACTAATACTTTAACTCTTTGTAGAATTTAAATAGACTGCACCCAAACACTTTTCACTTCTTGGGAAAATTTCATTTAAACTTCCTTCATACACTACAGATTAGTACATTATGTTTGGCAGATGACATTTAATTTTACTATGTTCTACTGTATTACATACATGACTGAATGACCAACTTGTGGATAATTTAATAATGTCTGTATATGTTACAGAGCATAAAATTGCATTCTGAATGGTGAACTGGTGTACAATTGGGTGTGATCTACTTAATGCACTACCCATGAACAGTCTGGAGTGAATGACAAAAACTGCAACAACCTGTGTAAGAACAGCTAATCACTGGACTCAGATTCAAAGCTGAAACTTGCAAGATAAGAAGCAGAGGCGCTAACAAATCAACTCCAATGTCTGGCCATGTTAGACGCAGCAAAGCAAAGGTTTAAGAGATTATATATTTTAAGACAGCCATATTCATAAGATCATATGGTACATGATAGTCACAGGGAGACTACCAGTTTCCTACACTGCATGTGGGGGCCCTTATTAATGGGAAACACTGCATCAGGAAAGTAACTGCATTGGTTATATAACACTTGGCTGGGAAAATAACATGTAAATGCTGTATGCAGGAAAACACAAACTTCTGGCTTAACTCTCAGCATAAGGCCAGTTGTCCTGGAACTTTCTGTGATTTTCCTCTCTCCAGGCAAAGTATAATAAAACAGACCACGGCCACTTCCTTTCATATCCTTCCCAATTCATAAATCACAATCAGCCTCCAAATCAACACTATCAAACAGGGTGTTTCACAACTTAAGGGCATAACTGCAGGAGGTGATTTCCTAGGGCTTTGTGATCAAAAAAGTTCATATAAACATGTGTCCGATTTTGGATGGTTACGGAGTTATGATCATTTAAACTCAGAACAGAAGGTAATGATTACTGACAATAAATGGAACAAAATAATAAACCAGCATAATACATGATACATTTAAAGTATGAATGTAAAGTTAACTTTGTGAAATTACGTTTAATTTGTATTTATTGGTGCTTAAAGCTGATTTTCGAAAATGCCACCGCCGGCTGCAACACAGGCTGCCGCTCGGTTGTGAACCACGCGGGTAGCACGTAGCAGCTTCAGCTGGATGTTTCTTATGTGGTCAGCGGCGTCCAGAATGTGACTGAGCAAAGCATCTCGCGTTACCACCTTCATACTGTAAACCAGTTTTTTCATCCATCCCCACACACAATAATCCAGTGGGCTTAAGTCTGGAGACCTGGCTGGCAATTCTTCGCGTACTTGTATGTGGGCTGCAGTGTACCATACAAACAATGCCTTCTTCACTGACGCCTTCATTAACACCATGCTTGGCTGCAATACGAACGCCAGGAAGTCTACCAGTATCTAGCAATGCCTGGTAAACTCCAGTAAACACTCTCCGGTTCGGTATTCTATGATTCGGAAACCGTTACTGATATTCAGCTATGGCAAGAACTGAGTTACTGTCACAAAACCCGTACACATAAATCATATCTGCATACTCCTCAAATGAAATGTAAATGGCATTGTGCACGTAACAGACGCACCGAGATGAGAACTGTTCTGAACACCAGTAGCTGCCACACTAGCCGTGGCCGGACATACCAACCCACCACGCCTTAGGTATCTCTCAAGTGTCGAGATAACGAGAATGCTCTATCTGTATCTGGCTAAAAATAGCGACCTGCCAGATGATAGACGCAGTTCACATGAGGGCGTGTATGGGAATGAAAAAACGGTCATAACTCCGTAACCGTCCAAAATCGGACACATGTTTATATGAAATTTTTTGATCACAAAGACCTAGGAAATCACCTCCTGCAGTTATGCCCTAAAGTCGTGAAACACCCTGTACATTTTCACATGTTACATCACCATACAAAACACATTAATCCTCTCAACACAGGATAGGTTTCCAAACAGAAGTATCAAGAACGGTATGTCTATATTTGACTTTAACTGTCCCCAAAATTGATATACTCAGGTCTGAAAAAAGAACACATATCCATAAAAAGCACCAAAGTAATATGGTACTAATGTAAAACTAATCAAAATACAATCCAACAAAAATTCTCCACACAGTATCACTCTGTGATGTTTACAAGAAAGTAACACACGTATTAATGAGATCCCTAACTCTTCCAAGTCACAATATTTGTAAGATACAAACACTACTAAAAAATATGGTTACTACCTCCAAGAAATTTCATGTCCAATTTTTTTTTTTAAATATTAAGCCAAGAAAATTTTCTAAATCAAAATCAAAATTAGACCTCTTGCATCAGTTACTCCCCAAAACATTGGTCTCAGTTGAATCACCTACTCTGGATTTATCAGAAATTAAATTTCAGTTCATCATATGTAATTTAAAAGGGTACAGAATGAGCATTTCAAAATGGATCAATTTACACAAATACAAAGTCTTAAACTGATTCACTATATCATAAGTAAGAAACCTGACTTCAAAAAATAGGCAAGTTTTAAACAGGGAATATAATATTACAAGTTCTCATGTTGACTAAATGTAATATAGTCTTCTCAAGCCAACAGTACAGACTGAAGCTCTGACATTTCAGATACAACCCAAATCGCTATCATAAACAGAATCTCAGTTACCAACGACTGATTGGTATCTAACAATGTAGAGAGCATAAAAATGAAATAAAACTGCAATGTTTCAGAGACTGTCTCAAGATACATATTGTGACAGGTAGACCCATTGCTAAGTAACAGCTGTGTAAACATGCAACAGTATAACAGCCATTGCTAGGGAACATTTCTGTGGACATGTTTCCCTGGCAACAAGAGAACATGCTATAATGGAAGAGACATTTTCTGTGCAGTCCATGCCAGGGCTATATAACGAGAACTAGTAGTTCAGTGGTTAAGTCAGCTGAGAGCTGCAGTTGTGAGAAGTGTGAAGCTGGCAGCTGAGGCCTGGGCCATTTTGGGAAAACAGAGGAAGGGGAACATTGCCATTGGAAGTTGCTACCAAGCAAGGGCTAGCAGTAGTAGTTGGTGATCTTTGGAGTGCGTAACTCAGGGAGACTGTTGCAGTCATTTGTAGTTATGTTCTTTAAGTGTTCAATAGATCTGATTACCAATCCAAACCCTGTATTTAGTCACTCTACCACATGACAATCTTAACCCCCATGCAGGCAGAGACAGTCTCTGAAATGACAGTTTTATTCCACAATGACATGACTGATTACTACGAAGGCAGCTGAACTGATTAGGACTATTAACAAAAGACTGAAGTTTGCCATTTAAGTTAAAGTATCTGTATACA